GCCAGCGCCTTCTACGCCGTGCGTGCAGGCAGCGTCGTGAAGAAGGTAACCGTCTCGTGTCTCGCGGAGTTCTCCTACACGGTGTGGGTGGGTTTGTTTTATTAAATTCGTTAAAAATACCTCGATCCGTCACGAAACGCCGCGGTGACGAACCACGAACACCCCCCACGCCAAAGTGGACAGCGCCACCTATGGGACAACAATGGACGCTTCTTCAACTGCGCGTCGCCGAAACGGCGTGTTTCGCTGCCCCGTAACTCGCGGAGGGAAATTCGGCGCCGCACCAAATTTGGCCAAGCGAAAAACGAGGGGTGGCTTCACGTCCCTGTCGAGTTTCGCGGTCGTGCGCCCGAGGATTGCGGAGTTACGGCCTCGCAAAGGTGGGGTGGCTGCTGTTTGCGAGCACCTATTAAAGCCCGGAGCTGCGTGGTCTCCCACTCCACGTTACTGTGACGAGAGCCAGCGGGTAATCGAACGGCTTCAACGGCCACTGTTGGTTTCATCCGAGGTGTCGAGGGCTCATGACACTTTTGGTGGTAGCGATTTTAATTAACTCGGTTGATGATGATTGTGGTGGTGATGGTGATGTGGTTGGTGATGGTGTGGTGGTGGTGATTGTGGTGATGGTGTGGTGGTGATGGTGTGATGGTGGTGATGATGGTGTGGTGGTGGTGATGATGGTGTGGTGGTGGTGATTGTGGTGATGGTGTGGTGGTGATGGTGGTGATGTGGTGGTGATGGCGGTGATGATGATTGTGGTGGTGATGGTGGTGTGATGGTGATGGTGATGATGTGGTGTGGTGGTGATGGTGGTGATGTGGTGGTGATGGCGGTGATGATGATTGTGGTGGTGATGGTGATGTGGTTGGTGATGGTGTGGTGGTGGTGATTTGTGGTGATGGTGTGGTGGTGATGGTGTGATGGTGGTGATGATGGTGTGGTGGTGGTGATGATGGTGTGGTGGTGGTGATTGTGGTGATGGTGTGGTGGTGATGGTGGTGATGTGGTGGTGATGGCGGTGATGATGATATGTGGTGGTGATGGTGGTGTGATGGTGATGGTGATGATGTGGTGTGGTGGTGATGGTGGTGATGTGGTGGTGATGGCGGTGATGATGATTGTGGGTGGTGGTGGTGATGGTGGTGATAATGGTGTGGTGGTGATGGTGGTGATGTGGTGGTGGTGGTGGTGATGGTGTGGTGGTGATGGTGTGATGGTGTGGTGGTGATGGTGATGTGGTTGGTGATGGTGTGGTGGTGGTGATTGTGGTGATGGTGTGGTGGTGATGGTGGTGATGGTGGTGATGGTGTGATGTGGTGATATGTTGGTGATGGTGTGGTGGTGATGGTGTGATGGTGGTGATAATGTTGGTGATGGTGTGGTGGTGATGGTGTGATGGTGGTGATAATGTTGGTGATGGTGTGGTGGTGATGGTGTGGTGGTGGTGATGTGGTTGGTGATTCTGATTATAATGGTGGTGATGATGATGTGGTGGTGATTGTAGTGGTGTTGGTGGTGATGGTGGTGATGGCGTGGTGGTGGTGATTGTGGTGATAATGGTGTGGTGGTGATGTGGTTGTTGGCGATTGTAGTGGTGGAGATTGTGGTGGTAATGATGATGATGATGGTGGTGATGATGTGGTTGTTGGTGATTGTGGTGGTAATGATGATGATGGTGGTGGTGGTGTGGTGGTGATGGTGGTGATGATGATGGTGGTAGTGATTGTGGTGGTGATGATGGTGATGATGATGGTGGTGATGGTGATGATGTGGTTGTTGGCGATTGTAGTGATGGTGGTGGTGATTGTGGTGATGATGATGGTGTGGTGGTGATGGTGATGTGGTGGTGATGATGTTGATGATGTGGTTGGTGGTAGCGGTGGTGATAGTGATAGTGGTGGTGTGGTGATAGTGGTGATGATGATGGTAGTGATGATGTTGATGATGTGGTTGGTGGTGGTGATGGTGTGGTGATAGTGGTGATGATGGTGTGGTGGTGATGATGATGGTGGTGATAGTGGTGATGGTTGTCGGTAGTGGTCTCATCGTTCTCTGCGTCAATCTCCTCTTGCTATGCTTCTCTTTATAAGTGTGTAAGTATCATCGTCATATTCTCGATGCATTATCAATCTGTGTGATTGTTTGGCTCTCCTATAAGTCTTGTGGGCCGACTGTGTAAGTCTATTGCTGCTCTATGGAATTCACTGCAAGTCTAATTTATATTTCAGTCTGTGGGACTATGCGTTAACAAAACACATTCCTGCGGAGGGAGCTGGTAGGAACGTCGGGTTGCTCGGTCAATGGCCTGCAGGGTCAACGGCGGCGTGGTGTATTCCGCAAATATGCCCGACTGAGGGCGGGCACAAGCCGGCGTGAGTAGGTGAAACGTTGAGTTTTATAAGGGCACCACGGGGTGACCAGCCCCTCCCCACCCAGCCCCACCCCACCCACCCCTGACCCAGCCCCTCCCCACCCACCCCTGACCCAGCCCCTCCCCACCCAGCCCCACCCCTCCCACCAGCCCCACCCTCCCCACCCAGCCCCACCCCTCCCACCCTCCCCTCTCCACCCAGCCCGACCCCTCCCATTTTTGGATGCAGGACGGACGGACACAATAATCCCCTGTGGGCTGGTGTAACCAGGAGGTTCCTACCAGTATCAGAATCTGTCTTTATACTGCAGGAGGAATCCGATGAGCTACAAAGCTCTTTATTCACAGATGTCCAGTCGGGGCACCGGGGTGGTAAGAGCATTGCAGCAACAAAACGGTACAAAAAAAAACACCACAGCGGTGCAAATGACAAGAAAAGTTGACAAATCGTCCCCCCCCCCCAAAAAAAAACAGTATGCGTGTCGTTGCAACGATTAATCCGTTTCAACCGCAGTTTTTGAGAAAACCAACAAACAAAAAAACACAACCCCCCCCCTACTTTGTCTGCCAGTTCCCCCCCCATCATTGCGTGATCCACAAACCCCTGGCTCGCCGTGCGTGGCTGGGGTCGTCCCGGGTGTTGTGTAATCGCCCACTTCTTTGGGGGCTGCGTTGAGCAACGGAGGATTTCGTGGGCTTCGTTTTTTGTTATCGGTTTGACGTTGGCCAGAGAGTCGAACATGAATGACAAAGATCTCTCTCTCTATCTCTCTCGGCCCGGAGAGTTTTTTTCTTTATGCCACGACCACCACCACCACCGCTAACCTCCATTTGGCGGTCGCAGAATCAGAATAATTCTTTATACCGGAGGAATCTGATGAGCTGTAACGCTCTTTTTTCACAAATGATGCTGGATGCAATTACCAGCGAAACGTCGTACTCAGAAAAATGTTTTTGTACATTTTGTGGTTTCACGCTTCAACACACTGGTGGGCTAAAGCAGTGAACTATTTTGTCTTTTGTCAACGTGACACTTTTTTGCTGATTGGCCGTGTCGGGTGGTGGAGGGTTACGACACATTTATAAATAACGCGATCTAAACCCAAAACGTTGATTATGAAATGTCCATTAGTTCTTCACGGGGTGGTGCTGCTGGAGGCTGTGTGGGTGGGATCTTTGTCTTTGTCTCCAGGTGGTGCTGCTGGAGGTGACATGGTGGGATCTTTGTCTTCAGGTGGTGCTGCTGGAGGTGACATGGTGGGATCTTTGTCTTCAGCTGGTGCTGCTGGAGGTGACATGGTGGGATCTTTGTCTACAGCTGGTGCTGCTGGAGGCTGTGTGGGTGGGATCTATGTCTTTGTCTACAGGTGGTGCAGCTGGAGGTGACATGGTGGAATCTTTGTCTACAGCTGGTGCTGCTGGAGGCTGTGTGGGTGGGATCTATGTCTTTGTCTTCAGGTGGTGCTGCTGGAGGTGACATGGTGGAATCTTTGTCTACAGCTGGTGCTGCTGGAGGCTGTGTGGGTGGGATCTATGTCTTTGTCTACAGGTGGTGCTGCTGGAGGTGACATGGTGGAATCTTTGTCTACAGCTGGTGCTGCTGGAGGCTGTGTGGGTGGGGTCTTTGTCTTTGTCTTCAGGTGGTGCTGCTGGAGGCTGTGGGTGGGTTCTTTGTCTTTGTCTACAGGTGGTGCTGCTGGAGGCTGTGTGGGTGGGATCTTTGTCTTTGTCTTCAGGTGGTGCTGCTGGAGGCTGTGTGGGTGGGGTCTTTGTCTTTGTCTTCAGGTGGTGCTGCTGGAGGTGATATGGTGTGATCTTTGTCTACAGGTGGTGCTGCTGGAGGCTGGGCCCGCGCTGGGGGGCTGGGTGCGATCGTCGCGCTCCCCACACGGGGCGGTGAGCGAACTCGGCCCGCGGAGCGTGAGGCCCAACGGACTCGTCGGGGGCAACACCCTGCGCATGGTGACGGCCGCACAACCGCCACCCTCACCGCAACACCGCCACCCTCACCGCAACACCGCCACCCTCACCGCAACACCGCCACCCTCACCGCAACACCGCCACCCTCACCGCAACACCGCCACCCTCACCGCAACACCGCCACCCTCACCGCAACACTGCCAGCCTCACCGCAACACCGCCACCCTCGCCGCAACACCGCCAGCTTAACCGCAACACCGCCAGCCTCACCACAACACCGCCACCCTCACCGCAACACCACCACCCTCACCGCAACACCACCACAACACCGCCACCCTCACCACAACACCACCACCCTCGCCACAACACCGCCACCCTCACCACAACACGGTCACATCACCACTCTCTCCACCACGGCCACAACACCACCCTCACCACAACACCGCCACCCTCGTCACAACACCGTCACATCACCAATCTCTCCACCACGGCCACAACACCACCCTCACCACAACACCACCACCCTCACCACAACACCGCCACCCTCACCACAACACCACGCCTAGTTACGTAATCGCTCTCCACCGCACCTTCACCACAACAGACTCATCGACTCGCTCGCTCGCTCACCCCCACTCCCAAGCCCACCCACTCGCCCTCCCCCTGTCTCCCCGTCTCTCCCCGTCCTCTTGTGTAATCTCGTGGTTAAGTTCATCTTTGCGTGTCCGCGCGTGTACCCGTCTCCCCACGTCTCCCCGCGTCTCCCCGCGTGTCAACTCATGTCTCCCCGCGTCTCCCCGCGTCTCCCCGCGTGTCAACTCATGTCTCCCTGTGTCTCCCCGCGTCTCCCCGCGTGTCCCTCTGACTCCCCGCTTCTCCCCGCGTCTCCCCGCGTCTCCCCGCGTGTCAACTCATGTCTCCCCGCGTCTCCCCGCGTCTCCCCGCGTCTCCCAGTGTGTCAACTCATGTCTCCCTGTGTCTCCCCACGTCTTCCCGCGTGTCCCTCTGACTCCCCGCGTCTCCCCGTGTGTCAACTCATGTCTCCCCGCGTCTCCCCGCGTCTCCCCACGTCTCCCCGCGTGTCCCTGCGTGTCCCCGCGTGTCCTCGTGTCTCCCCGCGTGTCCCCGCGTGTCCCTGTGTGTCAACTCGCATGTCCACGTCTCCCCGCGTGTCCCCGCGTCTCTCCGCGTGTCAACTCATGTCTCCCCGCGTCTCCCCGCGTCTCCCCACGTCTCCCCGCGTGTCCCCGCGTGTCCTCGTGTCTCCCCGCGTCTCCCCACGTCTCCCCGCGTGTCCCCGCGTGTCCTCGTGTCTCCCCGCGTGTCCCTGTGTGTCAACTCGCATGTCCACGTCTCCCCGCGTGTCCCCGCGTCTCCCCGCGTGTCAACTCATGTCTCCCTGTGTCTCCCCGCGTCTCCCCACGTCTCCCCGCGTCTCCCCGCGTGTCAACTCATGTCTCCCTGTGTCTCCCTGCGTCTCCCCACGTCTCCCCGCGTCTCCCCGCGTGTCAACTCATGTCTCCCTGTGTCTCCCTGCGTCTCCCCACGTCTCCCCGCGTCTCCCCGCGTGTCAACTCATGTCTCCCTGTGTCTCCCCGCGTCTCGCCGCGTGTCCCTCTGACTCCCCGCGTTTCCCCGCGTCTCCCCGCGTGTCAACTCGTGTCTCCCTGTGTCTCCCCGCGTCTCCCCGCGTGTCAACTCGTGTCTCCCTGTGTCTCCCCGCGTCTCGCCGCGTGTCCCTCTGACTCCCCGCGTCTCCCCGCGTCTCGCCGCGTGTCAACTCATGTCTCCCCGCGTCTCCCCGCGTCTCCCCGCGTGTCAACTCATGTCTCCCTGTGTCTCCCCGCGTCTCCCCGCGTGTCCCTCTGACTCCCCGCGTCTCCCCGCGTGTCAACTCATGTCTCCCCGCGTGTCCCTCTGACTCCCCGCGTCTCCCCGCGTGTCAACTCATGTCTCCCTGTGTCTCCCCACGTCTCCCCGCGTGTCCCTCTGACTCCCCGCGTCTCCCCGCGTCTCCCCGTGTGTCAACTCATGTCTCCCTGTGTCTCCCCACGTCTCCCCACGTCTCCCCGCGTCTCCCCGTGTGTCAACTCATGTCTCCCCGCGTCTCCCCACGTCTCCCCGCGTGTCCCCGCGTGTCCTCGTGTCTCCCCGCGTGTCCCTGTGTGTCAACTCGCATGTCCACGTCTCCCCGCGTGTCCCCGCGTCTCCCCGCGTGTCAACTCATGTCTCCCTGTGTCTCCCTGCGTCTCCCCACGTCTCCCCGCGTGTCAACTCATGTCTCCCTGTGTCTCCCCGCGTCTCCCCACGTCTCCCCGCGTCTCCCCGCGTGTCAACTCATGTCTCCCTGTGTCTCCCCGCGTCTCGCCGCGTGTCCCTCTGACTCCCCGCGTCTCCCCGCGTCTCCCCGCGTGTCAACTCATGTCTCCCCGCGTCTCCCCGCGTCTCCCCGCGTGTCAACTCATGTCTCCCCGCGTCTCCCCGCGTCTCCCCGCGTGTCAACTCATGTCTGCCCGCGTCTCCCCACGTGTCAACTCATGTCTCCCCGTGTCTCCCCGCGTCTCCCCGCGTGTCAACTCATGTCTCCCCGTGTCTCCCCGCGTCTCCCCGCGTGTCAACTCATGTCTCCCTGTGTCTCCCCGCGTCTCCCCGCGTGTCCCTCTGACTCCCCGCGTCTCCCCGCGTCTCCCCGCGTCTCCCCGCGTCTCCCCGCGTGTCCCTCTGACTCCCCGCGTCTCCCCGCGTCTCCCCGCGTCTCCCCGCGTCTCCCCGCGTGTCCCTCTGACTCCCCGCGTCTCCCCGCGTGTCCCCGCGTCTCCCCGCGTGTCCCCGTAGCTCTCCGATCTGGGCCTCTCCGACTCGGTGCTCCCAGTGACACGAGCGTCTCCAGCCGCCAAGAACCGCTTCGTGTTCACGGGGGGCACCCTGCACCCCCTCCCCAACTCGCTGTGGTGAGACGGAGCCCACGCACGCATATACAGCAGGCCGAACGCTACACGTGGCGCTGACGCTACACGTGGCGCTGACGCTACACGTGGCACTATAACACTACACGTGGCACTATAACACTACATGTGGCGCTAACATTACACCTGACGCTGACGCTACACAGAACGCTGACGCTGCACGTGACACTACCCCTACGCGTAACGCTAACATTACACATTACGCTACCACTAAACATAACGCTACCCCTATGCATAATGGTAACACTACACGTAGAATTTAGACTATATCTAACACCACCCCAAACACAACGCTGCCCCTACACACAACGCTACCCCTACACACAACGCTGCCCCTACACACAACGCTGCCCCTACACACAACGCTACCCCTACACACAACGCTACCCCTACACACAACGCTGCCCCTACACACAACGCTGCCCCTACACACAACGCTGCCCCTACACACAACGCTACCCCTACACACAACGCTACCCCTACACACAACGCTGCCCCTACACACAACGCTGCCCCTACACACAACGCTGCCCCTACACACAACGCTACCCCTACACACAACGCTGCCCCTACACACAACGCTGCCCCTACACACAACGCTGCCCCTACACACAACGCTGCCCCTACACACAACGCTGCCCCTACACACAACGCTGCCCCTACACACAACGCTGCCCCTACACACAACGCTGCCCCTACACACAACGCTGCCCCTACACACAACGCTGCCCTTACACACAACGCTGCCCCTACACACAACGCTGCCCCTACACACAACGCTGCCCCTACACACAACGCTGCCCTTACACACAACGCTACCCCTACACACAACGCTACCCTATACCTAACACTAACTTTATACCTAACACTATACCTACCACTAAGACTGCCCCTATACTTAAAACTAACACTGCTAATATACCTAACACGACCCCTGTACCGAACACGAACCCTCTTCTCCTAACATACACACTCGCCCACTCACCTACACACCCGCTCAGCCATCCACCCACCCGCTCGCCCACTCACCTGCCCGCTCACCCGTCCGCTCACCCGCCCACCCGCCCACCCACCCGCTCGCCCACCCGCCCACCCACCCGCCCGCTCACCCGCCCACCCACCCGCCCGCTCACCCGCCCACCCACCCGCTCGCCCACTCGCTCACCCACCCGCCCGCTCACCCGCCCACCCACCCGCCCGCTCACCCGCCCACCCACCCGCCCGCTCACCCGCCCACCCACCCGCTCGCCCACCCGCTCACGCCTACATCGCGGTTGTCTCCTCCGGACAGATGATCGCCGTTTCGGATCAACGATCTCAACATTCCAGACCGCCGTCCGGATCGCGCTCCGTTCTGTCCGCACTGTGCCCCCCCCCCCCCCTCTCTCAACCATTACCGCCCCCCCTCCACCCCGCAGGGCTGCCCTGAGCCGGCGGCCCCCCTTCTCGCGCCCCCTGGCGTGGCACGTGCTGCGGGAGCCGTTCGTCCGCGGGGGCGGCGATGGCAGCGGTGGCGACGACTTCAGCGTGGACACGCTGGCCCGGCACAGGCTCGGGGACGAGGTCACGCAAAGACAAAGACACACACGCACGCTCGCGCGTACACACACGTACTCGCGCGTACACACACACGCTCGCACGTACACACACACACTCGCACGTACACACACACACTCGCACGTACAAACACGCACACTCGCTCGCACGTACACACACACACTCGCACGTACACACACACACTCGCACGTACAAACACGCACACACGCTCGCACGAGCACGCGGAAACACACACACACGCGCGTACACACACACACACACACACGCGCTCGCGCGTATACACACACACACACGCGCTTGCGCGTACACACACACACTCGCACGTACACGCACACACACGCGCGTACACACACAGACACACTCGCATGTACACACACAGACACACTCGCATGTACACACACACACTCACGCGCGTACACACACACGCACGTACACACATGCTCACTCGCACGCGCGCACACACAAACACACTTGCTCGCTCGCTTGCGCACACACAGACACTCGCGCGCACTCACACGAACGCACTCACACGTACACACAAACTCACTCCCCCCTCGCCCCCCCCCCCTCCCCCCTCCCACGTGCGCGTGTCACCACAGCTGGCGGACTGGCTGCTGGACCCGCTGTGCCGCGGCGTGTTTGCCGGCGACAGCCGCCGGCTGAGCGTGCGCTCCTGCTTCCCGGCGCTCTACCGCGCCGTCACCCTTCACGGCTCCATCGTGGGCGGCTCGCTCCTCTCCCGAGAGCCAGGTGCTACGCCACCGGGGGGGCGGTGACGTCACCGGGGGCGGCTCGCTCCTCTCCCGAGAGCCAGGTGCTACGCCACCGGGGGGGCGGTGACGCCACCGGGGGGGCTCGCTCCTCTCCCGAGAGCCAGGTGCTACGCCACCGGGGGGGCGGTGACGTCACCGGGGGGGGCTCGCTCCTCTCCCGAGAGCCAGGTGCTACGCCACCGGGGGGGCGGTGACGTCACCGGGGGGGGCTCGCTCCTCTCCCGAGAGCCAGGTGCTACGCCACCGGGGGGGCGGTGACGCCACCGGGGGGGCTCGCTCCTCTCCCGAGAGCCAGGTGCTACGCCACCGGGGGGGCGGTGACGTCACCGGGGGGGGCTCGCTCCTCTCCCGAGAGCCAGGTGCTACGCCACCGGGGGGGCGGTGACGCCACCGGGGGGGCTCGCTCCTCTCCCGAGAGCCAGGTGCTACGCCACCGGGGGGGCGGTGACGTCACCGGGGGGGGCTCGCTCCTCTCCCGAGAGCCAGGTGCTACGCCACCGGGGGCGGCTCGCTCCTCTCCCGAGAGCCAGGTGCTACGCCACCGGGGGCGCGGTGACGTCACCGGGGGGGGCTCGCTCCTCTCCCGAGAGCCAGGTGCTACGCCACCGGGGGCGGCTCGCTCCTCTCCCGAGAGCCAGGTGCTACGCCACCGGGGGCGGCTCGCTCCTCTCCCGAGAGCCAGGTGCTACGCCACCGGGGGCGGCTCGCTCCTCTCCCGAGAGCCAGGTGCTACGTCACCGGGGGCGGCTCGCTCCTCTCCCGAGAGCCAGGTGCTACGTCACCGGGGGCGGCTCGCTCCTCTCCCGAGAGCCAGGTGCTACGTCACCGGGGGCGGCTCGCTCCTCTCCCGAGAGCCAGGTGCTACGTCACCGGGGGCGGCTCGCTCCTCTCCCGAGAGCCAGGTGCTACGTCACCGGGGGCGGCTCGCTCCTCTCCCGAGAGCCAGGTGCTACGTCACCGGGGGCGGCTCGCTCCTCTCCCGAGAGCCAGGTGCTACGCCACCGGGGGCGGCTCGCTCCTCTCCCGAGAGCCAGGTGCTACGCCACCGGGGGGGCGGTGACGTCACCGGGGGGGGCGGTGACGTCACCGGGGGCGGCTCGCTCCTCTCCCGAGAGCCAGGTGCTACGCCACCGGGGGGGCGGTGACGTCACCGGGGGGGGCGGTGACGTCACCGGGGGCGGCTCGCTCCTCTCCCGAGAGCCAGGTGCTACGCCACCGGGGGGGCGGTGACGTCACCGGGGCGGCTCGCTCCTCTCCCGAGAGCCAGGTGCTACGTCACCGGGGGGGGCGGTGACGTCACCGGGGGCGGCTCGCTCCTCTCCCGAGAGCCAGGTGCTACGTCACCGGGGGGGGCGGTGACGTCACCGGGGGGGGGGGGGCAGTGACGTTGGCGGTGACGTCACCGGGGGCGGCTCGCTCCTCTCCCGAGAGCCAGGTGCTACGCCACCGGGGGGGGCGGTGACGTCACCGGGGGGGGGGGGGGCAGTGACGTTGGCGGTGACGTCACCGGGGGCAGCTCGCTCCTCTCCCGAGAGCCAGGTGCTACGCCACCGGGGGCGGCGGTGACGTCACCGGGGGGGGGCGGTGACGTCACCGGGGGCGGCTCGCTCCTCTCCCGAGAGCCAGGTGCTACGCCACCGGGGGCGGCGGTGACGTCACCGGGGGGGGCGGTGACGTCACCGGGGGCGGCTCGCTCCTCTCCCGAGAGCCAGGTGCTACGCCACCGGGGGGGCGGTGACGCCACCGGGGCGGCGGTGACGTCACCGGGGCGGCTCGCTCCTCTCCCGAGAGCCAGGTGCTACGCCACCGGGGGGGCGGTGACGTCACCGGGGCGGCGGTGACGTCACCGGGGCGGCTCGCTCCTCTCCCGAGAGCCAGGTGCTACGCCACCGTGGGGGCGGTGACGCCACCGGGGCGGCGGTGACGTCACCGGGGCGGCTCGCTCCTCTCCCGAGAGCCAGGTGCTACGCCACCGGGGGCGGCGGTGACGTCACCGGGGGGGGCGGTGACGTCACCGGGGGCGGCTCGCTCCTCTCCCGAGAGCCAGGTGCTACGTCACCGGGGGCGGCGGTGACGTCACCGGGGGGGGGCGGTGACGTCACCGGGGCGGCGGCGGTGACGTCACCGGGGGGGGGGGGCAGTGACGTTGGCGGTGACGTCACCGGGGGCAGCTCGCTCCTCTCCCGAGAGCCAGGTGCTACGCCACCGGGGGCGGCGGTGACGTCACCGGGGGGGGGGCGGTGACGTCACCGGGGGGGGGCGGTGACGTCACCGGGGCGGTGGTGACGTCACCCGGGTGGCGCGTTTAGGCCGCGTGAAGTGCACGAACGCCCCTTAGGTCACATGACGATCCAGGCGCCACGGGTTGACCGACTGAGACTGACCGATGCATTATCTGTGCCCCATCCCACCCACCCACCCCACCAACCTCACCAACCCCACCCACCCACCCCCACCCCCACCCACCCACCCCCACCCCCACCCACCCCACCCCACCCACCCCCACCCACCCCCCCACCCCACCCCACCCACCCACCCCCACCCACCCCACCCACCCCACCCCACCCACCCACCCCACCCACCCCCACCCACCCCACCCACCCACCCACCCCCACCCACTCCACTCCACCCACCCCCACCCACCCCACTCCACCCACCCACCTCACCTACCCCCACCCACCCCCACCCAACCCCACCAACCCCACCTACCCCCACCCACCCACCCCACCCACCCCCACCCAACCCCACCAACCCCACCTACCCCCACCCACCCCACCCACCTCACCCACCCCACCCACCCACCTCACCCACCCCACCCACCTCACCCACCCCACCCACCTCACCCACCCCACCCACCTCACCCACCCCACCCACCCCCACCAACCCCACCCACCCCCACCCACCTCACCCACCCCCACCCACCAACCCAACCCCACCCCACCCCCACCCACCCCCACCCACCTCACCCACCTCACCCACCTCACCCACCCCCACCAACCCCACCCAACCCCACCCACCCACTCCACTCCACCCACCCCCACCCACCCCACTCCACCCACCCACCTCACCCACCCCCACCAACCCCACCCAACCCCACCCAACCCCACCCACCCCACCCTATCCCACCAACCAACCCCCCCCCCCGAATTTAATGGTGTAGGCTTACGACGACCCACCGGCCTGCTCTCCTTTCTAAACGTCGAGGGTGTTTCGATGTAAAGCTTCTTTCGTGACTGCAGGGATTAATCTTCTTGGTTCTTTCGGTAAAGTCATCACGTAGAAGGGTAATAATAAAATAATAAAAATATAACATGATCAAATAATTCTCACGACGTTTCGATTGCAACGCAAGCAGCCGTCCTCAGGTGAAGACGCTGTCTTTCCGACAGACCTGTTCTTCTGTCTGTCGGAAAGACAGCGTCTGAATGACTGAATGACGCTGTCTTCCCGACAGACCTGTTCTTCTGTCTGTCGGAAAGACAGCGTCTGAATGACTGAATGACGCTGTCTTTCCGACAGACCTGTTCCTCTGTCTGTCGGAAAGACAGCGTCTGAATGACTGAATGACGCTGTCTTTCCGACAGACCTGTTCCTCTGTCTGTCGGAAAGACAGCGTCTGAATGACTGAATGAAGCTGTCTTTCCGACAGACCTGTTCTTCACCTGAGGACGGCTGCTTGCGTTGTGGCCGAAGCGTTGTGAGAATTATTTTATTATGTTTTATTTTTATTATTTTATTACGTTGTATTTTTATAATTTAATAATGTTTTATTTTTATTATTTTATTATGTTTTATTTGTATTATTTTATTATGTTTTATTTTTATTATTTTATTGTTTTATTTTTATTATTTTATTATATTTATTTTTATTATTTTATTATTTCCCTTCTACGTGACTTTACCGAAAGAACCAAGTAGGTCAAGGGTGTTGTTTTCACAACGGCGGTCGAGCAGCGATTCAGTTGTGTCCACGCAGACGCCACGTGCAGAGACGGAGATGCTGCTCTTGCGCTTACCGCCGTCCCGTTCTCACCACCCGTCCCCCGGCACAGACGACCCGGCCATCTCGTCCAACGAGCTCGTCAAGAGGTCCCGGCGGGAGCGGTGGGCCATGTGGTCCCTGCGCGAAGGCATGGGCAGCCTGCCCAATGCCCTGGGGGCATTCCTGGAAGGCAGGGGCGTCGAGGTGCTCACCAACGCAGCTGTGCGGCGGATCGACTTTACGGGCGACCGCAGAGCCACGGTGAGTTTTATTCTTAGGTTTTTTCGGTAAAGTCACGTAGGTAAAACATCAAAATTAATAAAAATAAAATAAAGATAAAATAAAGATCACGACGTTTTGGTAGGCAACACAAGTCTCCGTCATCAGGTGGGACCGTCACAGCCAGATTAGCTGCATCAAGTGAGGCAGTGATTCAAGATGTAATCCCTTGTTATCTCGGCATCTTTTATTAATGTTGATGTTTTACCTACGTGACTTTACTGAAAAAACTAAGAATATGAATCCTTGCAGTCACGAAAGCTTCAAATCTAGAAGCCACGGTGAGTTTTCGTCGTGAGATGTTATCGACAACCAATTGGAAACTCATTTGCCAGTAAGAAATATGATTGTTTTTTTACCCTTCTATCTGGCAACAAAACTGACACCTTGTTTGCATAGACCACAATACCTGCGGTCATAATGCAAACCAAAAACATAACTCTGATCATCTATGCACTGTCCTTGAAGTTGATTGGTCCACACCCGTACGCCTTTTGGCGTCATCTGGTCTAACACCATGTGAGACTAGGCTCTAAGGAAAGCTGTCTAGCACATATTATTAAATAGTCAATGTTGTACTGTGGTGTCGTTTTAGGTGGAATTTGACGGTGATACAATTACAGTGGACCACATAATTAGCACATTACCTGCAAGAGGTGAGCGGATGGTTGAGTGGTTGAGTAGCTTGGGTGGGTGATTGAGTGGATGGGTGGGTGAATGGCTGAGCGAGTGCATGGGTGGGTGAGTGGCTGAATGGGTGGATGAGTGGGTGACTAGGTGGGGTGGGTGAATATGTGAGCGAGTGGGTGGGTGGGTGGCTGAATGGGTAAGTGAGTTAGTAGGTGGGGTGGGTGAATGGGTGGGTGAGTGGCTGAATAGGTGGATGATTGGGTGAATGTGAGTGAATGAGTGGGTGATTGTGTGGAGGGGTGAGTGGCTGAATAGGTCGATGATTGGGTGAATATGTGAATGAGTGGGTGATTGTGTGGAGCGGTGAGTAAATGAATAGATCGGTGAGTGGGTTGGTAAGTGAATAGATGGGTGAGTGGGTGGGGAAGCAAATAGATGGGTGAGTGATTGTGTGAGTGAGTGGGTATGAGAGATGGTGAATGGGTGGGTGGGTGACTAGGCGGATGGGTGAGTGAGTGAGTGAGGTAGGTGGGTGGCGAATGGGTAGGTGAGTGGATGGGTGGGTGAGTGAATAGATGTGTGAGTGAGTGGGTTTGAGGGATGGTGAATGGGTGGGTGAGTGACTAGGCGGATGGGCGAGTGAGTGAGTGAGGTCGGTGGGTGGCGAATGGGTGGGTGAGTGGATGGGTGGGTTAGTGAATAGATGGGTGAGTGAGTGGATGGGTGGGTAAGTGAATAGATGGGTGAGTGATCGAGTGAGTGACTGTCCCCCGCGTGTCCCCCACGTGTCCCCCGCGTGTCCCAGCCCTGTCCCCGCTGCTGCCCGCTGACCTGTCCGCGCTGCGGGAGGATCTGCGCCGTATCCGCTCCGTCACTGTGGCTGTGGTGAACCTGGAGTACCCAGGCAGAGTACTCCCCGTGCAGGCGAGTAGTCTCCCCGTGTCTCCACGTGTCTCCACGTGTCTCCGCGTGTCTCGGCGTGTCTCCGCGTGTCTCCGCGTGTCTCCCCGTGTCTCCCCGTGTCTCCGCGTGTCTCCACGTGTCTCCGTGTCTCCACGTGTCTCCACGTGTCTCCGCGTGTCTCGGTATGTCTGCAAGTAGTCTCCACGTGTCCCCGTGTCTCCACGTGTCCCCGTGTCTCCACGTGTCTCCACGTGTCTCCGCGTGTCTCGGTATGTCTGCAAGTAGTCTCCACGTGTCCCCGTGTCTCCACGTGTCCCCGTGTCTCCACGTGTCCCCGTGTCTCCACGTGTCTCCGCGTGTCTCCGCGTGTCTCCGCGTGTCTCCGCGTGTCTCAGTATATCCACAAGTGTCTCCGCGTGTCCCCGTGTTTCCACGTGTCTCCCCGTGTCTCCACGTGTCTCTGCGTGTCTCGGCGTGTCTCTGCGTGTCCCCGTGTCTCCACGTGTCTCGGTATGTCTGCAAGTAGTCTCCACGTGTCCCCGTGTCTCCACGTGTCTCCACGTGTCTCCACGTGTCTCAGTATATCCACAAGTGTCTCCACGTGCATCCCTGTGTCTCCATGCGCCTCTGCGTATTTCCGCGTGTGTCCATGTTTCACCAAATGACCGTGTGTCTCCCCGTGTGTCTCCCCTCCCCCCCGTGTGTCTCCCCGTGTGTCTCCCCGTGTGTCTCCCCTCCCCCCCGTGTGTCTCTCCGTGTGTCTCCCCATGTGTGTGTCTCCCTGTGTGTCTCCCCATGTGTGTGTCTCTCCGTGTGTCTCCCCTCCCCCATGTGTGTGTCTCCCCATGTGTGTGTCTCCCCCCATGTGTGTGTCTCCCCCGGTGTGTCTCCGTGTGTCTCCGTGTGTCTCCCCGTGTGTCTCCCCCGGTGTGTCTCCCCCGGTGTGTCTCCCCGTGTGTCTCCCCGTGTGTCTCCCCGTGTGTCTCCGTGTGTCTCCCCCCCTACCCCCGTGTGCCTCCCCGTGTGTCTCCCCATGTGTGTGTCTCCCCATGTGTGTGTGTCTCCCCATGTGTGTGTGTCTCCGTGTGTCTCTCCCCCTCCCCCTGTGTGTCTCCCCATGTGTGTGTCTCCTCGTGTGTCTCCCCTCCCCCCGTGTGTCTCCCCATGTGTGTGTCTCCCCCGGTGTGTCTCCGTGTGTCTCCCCTCTCCCCGTGTGTCTCCCCCGGTGTGTCTCCCCGTGTGTCTCCCCGTGTGTCTCCCCCCTTCCCCCCCGTGTGTCTCCCCGTGTGTCTCCCCGTGTGTCTCCCCACGTGTGTGTCTCTCCGTGTGTCTCTCCCCCTCCCCCCGTGTGTCTCTCCGTGTGTGTGTCTCCCCATGTGTGTGTCTCTCCGCGTGTCTCCCCCTCTCCCCCCGTGTGTCTCCCCGTGTGTCTCCCCATGTGTGTGTCTCTCCGCGTGTCTCCCCCTCTCCCCCCGTGTGTCTCCCCGTGTGTCTCCCCATGTGTGTGTCTCTCCGCGTGTCTCCCCCTCTCCCCCCGTGTGTCTCCCCGTGTGTCTCCCCATGTGTGTGTCTCTCCGTGTGTCTCTCCCTCTCCCCCCGTGTGTCTCCCCGTGTGTCTCCCCATGTGTGTGTCTCTCCGCGTGTCTCTCCCTCTCCCCCCGTGTGTCTCCCCGTGTGTCTCCCCATGTGTGTGTCTCTCCGTGTGTCTCTCCCTCTCCCCCCGTGTGTCTCCCCGTGTGTCTCCCCATGTGTGTGTCTCTCCGCGTGTCTCCCCCCCTCCCCCTGTGTGTCTCCCCGTGTGTCTCCCCATGTGTGTGTCTCTCCGCGTGTCTCCCCCCCTCCCCCTGTGTGTCTCCCCGTGTGTCTCCCCATGTGTGTGTCTCTCCGTGTGTCTCTCCCTCTCCCCCCGTGTGTCTCCCCGTGTGTCTCCCCATGTGTGTGTCTCTCCGCGTGTCTCCCCCCCTCCCCCCGCGTGTCTCCGCGTGTCTCAGGGGTTTGGACATCTCCTCCCATCGTCCGAGTCCGGCCCGGTGCTGGGCGTCGTGTACGACAGCGCACTCTTCCCCGAGCACGACCGGCGCGACGCAGAGAGCACACGGCTCACGGTGCGACGTCACGTCACACCACATCACACCACGTCACACTACCCCACGTCACACCACGTCACCCCACGTCACACCCCCCACGTCATACCACGTCACCCCACGCCACGTCATACCACCCCACGTCACACCACGCCACGTCATACCACCCCACGTCACCCCACGTCACCCCACGTCACACCCCCCACGTCATACCACCCCACGTCACCCCACGTCACACACACCACGTCACCCCACGTCACACACACCACGTCACACCACGTCACCCCACGTCACACACACCACGTCACACACACCACGTCACCACACGTCACACACGCCACGTCACACCCCCCACGTCATACCACCCCACGTCACCCCACCCCACGTCACCCCACGTCACACACACCACGTCACCCCCCACGTCACCCCACGTCACCCCACGTCACGCCCCCCATGTCATACCACCCCACGTCACCCCACCCCACGTCACCACACGTCACACACGCCACGTCACACCCCCCACGTCATACCACCCCACGTCACCCCACCCCACGTCACCCCACGTCACACACACCACGTCACCCCCCACGTCACCCCACGTCACTCCACGTCACGCCCCCCATGTCATACCACCCCACGTCACCCCACCCCACGTCACCACACGTCACACACGCCACGTCACACCCCCCACGTCATACCACCCCACGTCACCCCACCCCACGTCACCCCACGTCACACACACCACGTCACCCCCCACGTCACCCCCCACGTCACCCCACGTCACTCCACGTCACGCCCCCCATGTCATACCACCCCACGTCACCCCACCCCACGTCACCCCACGTCACACCCCCCACGTCACACCCCACGTCACCCCACGTCACACCCCCCACGTCACCCCACCCCACGTCACCCCACGTCACACCCCCCACGTCACACCCCCCACGTCACACCCCCCACGTCACACCCCCCACGTCACACCACGTCACACCACGTCATACCACCCCACGTCACCCCACGTCACCCCACGTCACACCCCCCACGTCATACCACCCCACGTCACCCCACGTCACACCCCCCACGTCACACCACACCACGTCACCCCACGTCACCCCACGTCACCCCACGTCACCCCACGTCACACCCCCCACGTCATACCACACCACGTCACCCCACGTCACCCCACGTCACCCCACGTCACCCCACGTCACCCCACGTCACACCCCCCACGTCATACCACACCACGTCACCCCACGTCACCCCACGTCACCCCACGTCACCCCACGTCACACCCCCCACGTCATACCACCCACGTCACCCCACGTCACACCCCCCACGTCATACCACACCACGTCACCCCACGTCACCCCACGTCACACCCCCCACGTCATACCACACCACGTCACCCCACGTCACCCCACGTCACACCCCCCACGTCATACCACACCACGTCACCCCACGTCACCCCACGTCACACCCCCCACGTCATACCACACCACGTCACCCCACGTCACCCCACGTCACACCCCCCACGTCATACCCCCCACGTCACACCCCCCACGTCATACCACACCACGTCACCCCACGTCACACCCCCCACGTCATACCACACCACGTCACACCCCGCGTCACACCCCACGTCACCCCGCGTGGTCACAGGTGATGCTGGGGGGTGCGTGGTTCGAGGAGGCGTACGGGGGTCTGGGTGCGGGCGAGGGGGAGCTGGAGTCGCTGCTGGCGGACGCGGCGGAGGGAGCCGTGAGGTCCCAGCTCGGGGTGGACGTGCGGCCTGCGAGCACCACCGTCAGCCTCAACCAGGTGGGCAGCGGCGACAGCGGCACAACCGACAGCGGCACAACCGACAGCGGCACAACCGACAGCGACACAATCGACAGCACCACAACCGACGGCACCACAACCGCTGGCACCACAACCGACAGCGACACAACCAACAGCGACACAACCGACAGCACCACAACTGCCAGCACCACAACCGACAGCACCACAACCGCTGGCACCACTACCGCCAGCAGCACAACCAACAGCGACACAACCGACAGCAACACAACCGCCAGCACCACAACCGACAGCACCACAACCGCCAGCACCACAACCGCCAACCACACAACCGCCAGTGCCACAACCAACAGCGCCACAACCACCAGCAACACAACCGCCAACCACACAACCAACAGTGCCACAACCGCCACCACACAACCTCCCACCCTCAACCAGTATATATACAAATACGGTTTTCTTGGAATTTCTCATTTACTTGATACAGCAATCGTGCTGTGACTGTTCCACCTGAAGACGGAAGCTTGTGTTGCCTCCGAAACGTCGTGATTTTTATTTTATTTTTTATTTTACTTTTATTAATTTAAAATTTTTACCTACGTGACTTTACCGAAAAAACCTAAGAATATGAATCTTTGCAGTCACGAAAGCTTCAAATCTAGAATTTATTCTAGAATTTATTCTAGATTTGAAGCTATTCTAGATTTGAAGCTTTCGTGACTGCAATGATTCATATTCTTAGGTGTTTTCGGTAAAGTCACGTAGGTAAAAACATTAAAAAGTTAAATAAAATAAAAATAAAACTCCTGCAATCTCTCAAAATTTTCACGAACATTAATTGTCACGCACAACGAGTCTGTGTGGAAAATGTCAGCTCCATTGTATCACGGGAAGTGGGTTAAAAAACGACCGAAAGATTTGCACGGTCCTAAGCAAGCAAGCGAACTTAATATAAAGGATTTAACAAAGGCTCATTCCTAACAGCGTGTTTCAGCCGCACCGAACCTCACAATAATAATGATATCCAGGGTCTACCTTGGCTCCTCCCACCCTCAACCAGTATATATACAAGGACTGTTTTCTTTGAATGTCTCACTTACTTGATACAGCTGTTGTGGCTGTGACGGTACCACCTGAAGACGGAAGCTTGTGTTGCCTCCGAAACGTCGTGATTTTTATTTTATTTAACTTTTTAATGTTTTTACCTACGTGACTTTACCGAAAAAATCTAGAATTTATTCATAGTTTTACCCGAAAAACTAAAAAAACAACAACGACACCCCACGTGGCTGTGTCTGCCTGTCTGCCTCTTTTCCAGGACTGCATTCCTCAATACGAAGTCGGACACTGGAAAATCATGGGTAAGCGAGCAAAGCACTGTGGGAAAAATTACCCACGATCCCTTGAGAGTGGGGGGGGGGGGAGGGTGCCCTGCGCTTGATTGCAGTGCTCTGCGTATATCCGGCGTCCCGAGTTCGATTGCCGCTCTCACGGCCATCGCCGGTGACGATTATCTGAACCGGTCTTTGGCCTCCCCTAGGTCGACTCGGCCTTAAATTAGTACCTGGAGCACTGGGGAGACAAAGGTGGCCCAGCGTGGTGCTGACCATCGACCCACCCTGGGTCTGTCTCAATACCTCCTGCAAGCAGCGAGCCTTCCACACATCACGTGACAGCCTCCAAGTGCACCTAGCCTGGCACATCAGTTAACTTATAACAACACGGTCCTGTCACATGACCTCCTGCAAGCAGCGAACCTTCCACACATCACGTGACGGCCTCCACGTGCACCTAGCCTGGCACATCGATGAACCCATACCACCTGGGTTCTCTCACGTGACCTGCTCCTGCCATCAGCGAACCTTCCACACATCACGTGACGGCCTCGACGTGCACCTAGCCTGGCGCGCTGACGTTTTGCCCGCAGAGAGGATCGCGGGGGAGGTGGGGTCCCGGCGTCTGCCGCTGAGTCTCACCGGCGCCTCCTTCAACGGCGTCTCCATCAACGACTGCGTCTTCAACGCGGCGGCGGCCGTCGCCACGCTCCTCCGGACGCACGCGTGAACCCCCTCTCACGAGTGCCACACCGGAGTGGGGGGGGTGTGGGGGGTGGGGGGGCGGAGGTGGGGGGGGGCGAAGATTGGGGTGGGGGGCCTGTGTGTAACCCGTACTCGGATTCAGGATCGGTGTCTTGAGTTGTGGACTGGGTCTCACGATTGGAGTCTTGAGACCGGGTCTCAACTCAAGACACTGATCCTGAAGTCAAGACACTGATCAGAGTCTTGAGTTGAGACTGCGTTTCAGGGTCAGAGTCTTGAGTTGAGACCGGGTCTCAGGATCAGAGTCTTGAGTTGAGACCGGGTCTCAGGGTCAGAGTCTTGAGTTGAGACCGGGTCTCAGGATCAGAGTATTGAGTTGAGACTGCGTTTCAGGATCAGTCTTGAGTTGAGACCGGGTCTCAGGGTCAGAGTCTTGAGTTGAGACTGGGTCTCAGGATCAGAGTCTTGAGTTGAGACTGCGTTTCAGGATCAGAGTCTTGAGTTGAGACCGGGTCTCAGGGTCAGAGTCTTGAGTTGAGACTGGGTCTCAGGATCAGAGTCTTGAGTTGAGACCGAGTCTCAGGATCGGAGTCCTGAGTTGAGACCGGGTCTCAGGATCAGAGTCTTGAGTTGAGACCGGGTCTCAGGATTAGTGTCTTGAGTTGAGACCGGGTCTCAGGGTCAGTGTCTAGAGTAGAGACCGGGTCTCAGGGTCAGAGTCTTGAGTTGAGACCGGGTCTCAGGGTCAGAGTCTTGAGTTGAGACTGGGTCTCAGGGTCAAGAGTCTTGAGTTGAGACCGGATCTCAGGGTCAGAGTCTTGAGTTGAGACTGGGTCTCAGGATCAGAGTCTTGAGTTGAGACCGGGTCTCAACTCAAGACACTGATCCTGAACTCAAGACACTGATCAGAGTCTTGAGTTGAGACCGGGTCTCAGGGTCAGAGTCTTGAGTTGAGACCGGGTCTCAGGGTCAGAGTCTTGAGATGAGACTGGGTCTCAGGATCAGAGTCTTGAGTTGAGACTGCGTTTCAGGATCAGAGTCTTGAGTTGAGACTGGGTCTCAGGATCAGAGTCTTGAGTTGAGACTGCGTTTCAGGATCAGAGTCTTGAGTAGAGACTGGGTCTCAGGGTCAGAGTCTTGAGTTGAGACTGCGTTTCAGGATCAGAGTCTTGAGTTGAGACCGAGTCTCAGGATCGGAGTCCTGAGTTGAGACTGGGTCTCAGGGTCAGAGTCTTGAGTTGAGACCGGGTCTCAGGATCAGAGTCTTGAGTTTAGACCGGGTCTCAGGATCAGAGTCTTGAGTTGAGACTGGGTCTCAGGGTCAGAGTCTTGAGTTGAGACCGGGTCTCAGGATCAGAGTCTTGAGTTGAGACTGGGTCTCAGGATCAGAGTCTTGAGTTGAGACTGGGTCTCAGGGTCAAGAGTCTTGAGTTGAGACCGGGTCTCAGGGTCAGAGTCTTGAGTTGAGACTGGGTCTCAGGGTCAAGAGTCTTGAGTTGAGACCGGGTCTCAGGGTCAGAGTCTTGAGTTGAGACCGGGTCTCAGGGTCAGTCTTGAGTTGAGACTGCGTTTCAGTATTAGAGTCTTGAGTTGAGACTGCGTTTCAGGATCAAAGTCTTGAGTTGAGACTGCGTTTCAGGGTCAGAGTCTTTAGTTGAGACCGGGTCTCAGGGTCAGAGTCGTGGGTTGAGACTGCATTTCAGGATCAGAGTCTTGGGTTGAGACTGCATTTCAGGATCAGTGTCTTGAGTTGAGACTGCATTTCAGGATCAGAGTCTTGGGTTGAGACTGCATTTCAGGATCAGAGTCTTGAGTTGAGACTGCATTTCAGGATCAGAGTCTTGAGACCGGGTCTCAGGATCAGTGTCTTGGGGTGAGACTGCATCTCAGGATTGTAATCTTGACTCTGATCCTGAAATAACTTCTCAAACACTTACACCCATCCCACCCTTTATTGCTGCACTTAACGAGATTGAAAATGAAAATGTAAGCGAAACGCGTTGCCGCGAATATAGTTTTTTTACAACGTGTGATGACAATGTTGGCGAATGATCATGTACACACATTATCGATTGTACCTTTAATATAAATTCTGAGAATATTTCTACAACTGTGTCGAGTATTTTCTATACACGTACGGATCCTGCCTTAATCCAAACCGTATTATACAGCACGGTAAAATCTTCTTGGTTCTTTCGGTAAAGTCACATAGAAGGGAAATAATTAAAATTATAAAACATAATAAAATAATTCTCACGACGTTTCGGCCACAACGCAAGCAGCCGTCCTCAGGTGAAGAACAGGTCTGTCGGAAAGACAGCGTCTGAATGACTGAATGACGCTGTCTTTCCGACAAACCTGTTCTTTCTGTCTGTCGGAAAGACAGCGTCTGAATGACTGAATGACGCTGTCTTTCCGACAGACCTGTTCTTTCTGTCTGTCGGAAAGACAGCGTCTGAATGACTGAATGAAGCTGTCTTTCCGACAAACCTGTTCTTTCTGTCTGTCGGAAAGACAGCGTCTGAATGACTGAATGACGCTGTCTTTCCGACAGACCTGTTCTTTCTGTCTGTCGGAAAGACAGCGTCTGAATGACTGAATGATGCTGTCTTTCCGACAGACCTGTTCTTTCTGTATGTCGGAAAGACAGCGTCTGAATGACTGAATGACGCTGTCTTTCCGACAGACCTGTTCTTCAGACCTGTTCTTCACCTGAGGACGGCTGCTTGCGTTGTGGCCGAAACGTCGTGAGAATTATTTTATTAGGTTATATTATTTTTATTATTTTTTTATTTCCCTTCTACGTGACTTTACCGAAAGAACCAAGAAGATGAATCCCTGCAGCAGTCACGAAAGAAGCTTTAAATCGAAAACACGGTACAATGTTTCGCAAACGCGCAATCGACAAGCATGCGTGCTGTAACGACTGTTTAAAATGAAGCGTTGTAATTTGCAGTCCTTGGTCAATTCACTGCTGGATGAGAATGCATCCCCGTCGCGTCATCATCGCTCGCGATCGCCCAAGAATCAGGGAGATGGACGTCACGGTGGCTAGGAGATGTTAACTGCCTCGCCTGGTATACAGGAGGTCGTGGGTTCGATCCCGACCCTGACGCCTGCTGCTGTATATTTGGAGTTTGCGTGTCTCTCTCATCATCATCACGGTGGCGAGGAGATGTTAACTACCTCGCCTGGTGTACAGGAGGTCGTGGGTTCGATCCCGACCCTGATGCCTGCTGTGTATTTGGAGTTTGCGTGTCTCTGTCACATCATCACGGTGGCTAGGAGATGTTGACTACCTCGCCTGGTGTACAGGCGGTCGTGGGTTCGATCCCGACCCTGACGCCTGCTGCTGTATATAAGGTACTCGGTTTCATTTACTTGGTTTAGCCCTGTGAGCCATTCGGCTCTTGAATCAGGTGCAACCGCAAAAAAACAAAAACATGAACATGAAAACATCTTAAAGTGACTATGTGACTAAGTGCAAACAGAAAAATCCAGGAAAAAACTGCAAAGTCTTCCAGAAAAAAATCACCGTACACCAACGCTGTGCAGAAATCCCAGTGGGATGATGCAAGTCAAACAACAACAAGCACAAGACAACTTAGATTAAAGCCATCATTCTAACTGCGTACTACAACAAACAAACAAGGCCAAACCCAAAACAACTTTTCGAAATCACAAAAATAAAGCCATAAAAGCAACGTAACAGCGATCATAGGAACTGTGACTGGTGTGGTGGTGGGGGGGGGTGGTGGTAGTGGTGGTGGGGGGGTGGTGGTGGTGGGGGTGGTGGTGGGGGGGGGGAGTGGTGGTGGGGGGCGTGGTGGTTGGGGACGTGGTGGTTGAGGGTGTGGTGGTGGGGGGTGGTGGTGGTTGGGGAGGTGGTGGTGGGGGTGGTGGTGGGGATGGTGGGGGTGGTGGGGGGGGGTGTGGTGGTAGTGGTGGGGGTGGTGGGGGGGGGGGTGTGGTGGTAGTGGGGGGGTGTGGTGGTGGTGGTGGGGGGCGTGGTGGTGGTGGTGGTTGGGGGGGTGGTGGTGGTTGGGGGTGGGGGGGGTGCGGTGGTGGTGGTGGGGGTGTTGGTGGTGGTGGGGGTGGTGGGGGTGGTGGTGCTGGTGCTGGTAGTGGTGGGGATGGTGGGGGGGGTGGTAGTGGTGGGGGTGGTGGGGGGGGGTGTGGTGGTAGTGGGGGGGTGTGGTGGTGGTGGTGGGGGGCGTGGTGGTGGTGGTGGTTGGGGGGGTGGTGGTGGTTGGGGTGGGGGGGGTGCGGTGGTGGTGGTGGGGGTGTTGGTGGTGGTGGTGGTTGTGGGGGTGGTGGGGGTGGTGGTGCTGGTAGTGGTGGGGATGGTGGGGGGGGTGGTGTGGTGGTGGGGGGGGGGTGGTGGTGGGGGGTGGTGGGGGGGGGGTGGTGGTGGGGGGTGGTGGGGGGGGGGGTGGTGGTGGGGGGGGGTGGTGGGGGGGGTGCGGTGGTGGTGGGGGGTGTTGGTGGTGGGGGTGGTGGTGCTGGTGGTGGTTGGGGTGGTTGTGGTGGTGGTTGGGGGCGTGGTGGTGGTGGTGGTGGGGGTGGTGGTGGTGGTTGTGGGGGGGTGGTGGTGGGGGTGGTTGGGGTGGTTGTGGTGGTGGGGGGGGGTGGGGGGTGGTGGTGGGGGGGGTGGGGGGGGGGTGCTGGTGGTGGTGGGGGGGAGGCGTGGTGGTGGGGGTGGGTGGGGGTGGTGGTTGGTGACGTTTCTTAGGTTCCCTGCTCCGTCATTGACACTCTAAGTCCAAGATGGCGGCCTCCGTGTGGTTTCGCCAAGCGAAGTTCGCCAAGGTGAGGAACACGACAAAACAACGCGGGCCGATGCCTTTCCACGCTCTCTCCGTCGTCCGTCCGGCTTCGTGGGAGAGAAGCGCTGGATAGACACGTCGGGAATTGTCGCGATATGTTCTGAAATCTTTAAAAAAAAATGACAAGCAAGGCCGCTACGATGCCTGCGTTGTTGCCTGGTTCGCCTGCCCGGTTTGGTGCGTCCTTCCCGGCAGCGGCCGAGGTCGAATGACAACATCTGACGCTCCCGTCTCTTCCTTAGAGATATATATATATATATAACGTGATAGTCTTTATAAAGTGTCGTTAAAGTTAACAAACACTTTCAAAGTTAGCATGTGTATAACGGGAATGCAATTGCTAAAGTTATGATACTACTGTGTGCGTATTAGCACGATTGGCTACGTACAGTTTTAAGTGTGTTAAATCTAAATTGCAGTTTTAAGTTCGTGCCAATCTTAATTGTTTTGTTACAGTCATACGAATTACACTAATTTACAGGAACTACATTGTACATGTTATAACGCACCGTTTTATTTAAAGATTAAAGCAGTCTAGACTTGAAGCTTTTGTGACTGCAAGGAATCATATTCTTAGGTGTTTTCGGTAAAGTCACGTAGGTAAAACATCAAAATTAATAAAATAATAAAATAAAGATAAAAAATATTTTTATTTTATTATGTTTGATGTTTTACCTACGTGACTTTACCGAAAACACCTAAGAATATTAAAGCAGTCCCCTTGGTCAGCCACACCGAAACATTGGCCACTGAATCTGCCGGACATATATTGCCAGGCGCAAGAATTACTAATCTACAACTCGCATCGTAACAATAGCCTGATTTACTATTCTAGTATATAATTACAAACAGGTCCCTGCGGGGTGGGCTGGTAGGAACGAATAACCAAAGAATATAAACATAATGTATTATTACACTTGTTTAGCCAGGAAAGCCTCACTGAGTCTAAAGCAGGGGTCATGAATCTTTTTGACTGGGAGAGCCATAAAAGCCAAATATTTCTAAATATATTTCATTGAGAGCCTTATAGTATTTTTTACGTATAATAAATTAAATGTCTTACTTTTAATGCGACTTCTGGTCACGGGTGCCGTGACCCGAGAAATGTTATCTTCAAAACTAATTTCTGTTTACTTTAAAATGACACAGTATTATTAAGCAATATCACAAGTATTTTAAAATCAGTTCCAAACTGATTTTTTATTATTATTTTCAACTCAAAATTGTCTGGGAGCCATATGCCGTCACCGGAAGAGCCATATATGGCTCGCGAGCCATAGGTTCCCGACCGCTGGTCTAAAGGTTTTTGTAGGGTCCTGCCAAGTGTTTGCAGTAGGGGGCGATGTTGCTACACGGACGGACGATATAATCTATTGTAGGCTGGTTCACTTCGTTCCTACCAGTATAACCCCCAGTCAAATCTTTGCACCTGACGAATTAATGAGTTGATGATGACGTTACCCTGCTGCTGCTGCTGCTCTATATAAGAACGGGAGACAGAGCAGAGCCTCACCATTCTGGCGAATTGCCCGATGATGCTGGATGCAATTACCAGCGAAACGTCGTACAACTCAAATTGTAAATGTTGTGGTTTCACGCTTCAACACACCAGTGTGGGGCTAAAGTAGTGAACTATTTAATTGCAGATGTGCAGCGCCTTGCGACCTCTGGTTGAAACCGCGCTTAATAAGCGTAAATTATTGTTATTATGAACGCGCATTAATCTCAGTTGTAAAGTCAAAGTGAGAGGCGTTTCCTGCATCAGATGAACGCTGAAGGCACCGGTGTTCATCTGTATCAAGTGAGAGAATTTCTCTCACTTGATACAGCAATCGTGCTGTGACGGTTCCACCTGAAGACGGAAGCTTGTGTTGCCTCCGAAACGTCGTGATTTTTATTTTATTTTTATTTTACTTTTATTAATTGTAATTTTTTACCTACGTGACTTTACCGAAAAAACCTTAGAATATGTTCATCTCCTGTTTAACAGCCCTGCAGAGCCCAGCGGTGGAAATTCCACATTACTTTGGCGGCAGAGGTGTAGGACAAACTGGAGAGCCACACCGACCCAACTGTGTCTGACATGACATTAAAACTAATGACGTATTTACGAATCGTCGCTCGGAGAAAAAAAACATGTATACTATTATCAATAAGAATTATAATTACTTTTAAAAAGATATTGCATGTGTGCGCATTTCACACATGTATTTTACAATGTCAAAATAATTCGTTAAAAATCACTGCTAAGAGATAAGACAACATCTACTATCAAAAAAATACTTTAAAAAATATATCTATTTTGCGTGTGTGCGCATTTCACATGTGTGTATTTTATAATTCTCATCCGTAGATGCTTCAGGTGTGCCGGGCGTCCCTTCCCAGCGCAACCGGTCAGTCCGGCTTGTCCTCTAAGCCCACCAAACCCACCAGCTCCACGAAAGGTGAGACATTGACTACTCATCCGCCTCGGGGGTAATATCATGAATCAACGGATGACATTGCGGTGTAAATGTCAAATATTGTGTGTTTACTCTCCAACATAGTAGTAACTCATCTTCTTGGTTCTTTCGGTAAAGTCACCACGTAGAAGGGAAGTAATGAAATAATAAAAATAAAACATAATAAAATACAATTCTCACGACGTTTCGGCTACAACGCAAGCAGCCGTCCTCGGGTGAAGAATGTAACACTGCCAAGCTTGGAGCTTTTATATAAGCTGGGTTGGAGGTGGATGAAGAGCTCCTTGACAAAAGAATTTGCATATCAAGGCGCTCTTCTTCCACCTCCAACCCAGCTTATATTTACGCTCCAAGCTTGGCAGTGTCTCATTCTTCACCTGAAGACAGCTGCTTGTGTTGTAGCCGAAACGTCCTGAGAATTATTTATGTTTTATTTTTATTGTTGTATTATTTCCCTTCTACGTGATGACTTTACCGAAAGAACCAAGAAGATGAATCCCTGCAGTCACGAAAGAAGCTTTAAATCGAAATAGTAGTAACTGTTTGGCATGTTTTGTTTCCGTGACAAACCTTAAGTAATTGGCTGCGTCGGGTGGTGTCGAGTTAACGACACGTATATTTACGCCATCTAACCCAAAAAAACCTCTCTTATGAATAATATTTTATCACGAAAGCCTACGTGTGAAATTGAATTCCTTTCGTGTTTGCTCGGCATCTAAAATAGCCATTCCGCTTGTTATGAACCTGTCAAGAAAGGATGACCGGCACACCCAATTCCATAACTTGAACTCAGGAATTCACTTGTTGGTTCAGTGTTTCTGACGCAACCATTGTTAAACCCTTCTGATAGAAATCCACACCCAGGATCTCAGCAGTGCTTGCTCAGTATCTAAAAAAAAAAACTAAACTAAGATAAAACTGAAAGAACCAAGAATATAGTTTTTTTAAATCCTTTATATTAAGTCCGCTTGCTTGCTTGCGCGCTTACGACCGTGCAAATCTTTCGGTCGTTTTTTAACCCACTTCCCGTGATCCAATCGAGCTGACATTTTGCACACAGACTCGTTGTGCGTGACAATTTATTTCCGTGAAAATGTTTTTCCAAAATTTTCCACTTTTTATGAATTTTTTTTTATATTTAATTACCAATTGCTTAATGGTGGTAGGCAATCATCTGACCCATAGGTGGCAGCCATCTCAAGCCAGAGGACGAGAGGACTCTAGCCGCCCGTTTCAAAGACCAATGTGGGCCCGGGTTGTGGCCCATTGAACACGCATATAAAGGATTTATAGTGAAAAACTTTGTTTTTACGGGTTAACTTTTTTTTACTTTAAAATCGTTCTCACGCCACGCAGACGCGGGGGCCACCAAGGCCAAAGGCTCGCCTGCCGCGGCTGTCGGTAGCGGCGGTGTCAACAAGGCGACCCCCAAGGCGACCCCCAAGGTGGCAGCCGCTGGGCCCCCTCCTGCGGCCCCCGTGGCCAGCGCCGCCCTCAAAGGTAACGGCGCTGGGGTAACGGCGCTGGGGTAACGGCGTTGGGGTAACGGCGCTGGGGTAACGGCGCTGGGGTAACGGCGCTGGGGTAACGGCGCTGGGGTAACGGCGCTGGGGTAACGGCGCTGGGGTAACGGCGCTGGGGTAACGGCCACGGTGATCCTCGCGTCGTCGTAGCTGGGCGTGACGCGATGGCGTCAATCTCAACGACGCGTCGCGTCCAACTCCACGACGTGACGGATCGATCGTTGCGACGTCGGTGGTCCGTGACGTTGCAAGCAGTTGTGTTATTTTAACACGTCGCAACCAATGTCATCCGTGATACAGGTTATTTTTTTGTTGGGGTTAGATCGCGTAAATATATAAACGTGTCGTTAAACCCGCCACCACCCGACACAGCCAATTAGGAAGGTTTGTGTCACGTTAACAGAACGTGCAAATTCGGAACGAAACTGCAGCATTTCTCCACAAATGTGGCTGTCGGCCGATGTAGCGAGTTGTAATCACCGGAGCTCAGATTGTAAACGTTGTGGCTTTGCTCTCCAACTGGTACAAAAACTGACACCTTTATACAAGGGATCATGTTTGCAATAACCACAACACAAGCAGTCAGAATGCACTGTTTTTGAGTTGTACGCCTTTTGGCGTCATCTGGTCCAACACCAATGGAGACTAGGCTCTAATGAAAAGCTGTCTCGGGTGTGGACCAATCAACTTCAAGGACAGTGCATATCATTATCATCATCAGAGTTGTTTATTTTTGTTAGCATTTTGACTGCTTGTGTTGTGGTTATTGCAAACATGATCCCTTGTATAAAGGTGTCAGTTTTTGTACCAGTTGAAAGGGTAAAAACCTACTACTATATTTTGCCACTGGTAAAGGAGATGTCTCATAGTGTCAATGGCAGTGTTTTTTGTGAAGCTAAGTGAGTTTAAAGGATGTGCTTTGCAGATTTAGTTGGTGAGCCATTTGTCGTAGAGTTTCTTTATCGACGCACACCGCTGCATGAAGGCCTCCTCATGGCATGGCGGTCACGAGAGGTCGTTTCACAATACTTCACCACGCCGTCGGTTAGTGCCGTACCGTTTGCCAATCCCCGGTAAACGAACTTGGCTCATCGGCTCGCCCGCACAGTGCGCCAACCGCTGCACCACCGCTCCCCACGTCTGCACGTAGTTAGGATATCTCCAACAACTTGGCGCATCCGTGTGGCAACTCTTTTATTTATTTTTATTATCTCCGAGCAATCTTGCCGCCTCTTTCAACTCCCGCCACATCTACCGGCTCCCCCACCATGGTGATCGCCACGGTGACCGCCGCCACGGTGACCGTCGCCACGGTGACCACCAAGGTGATCGCCACGGTGACCGTCGCCACGGTGACCGCCGCCGCTGCCGCCCCCGCCGCCTTCCGCTGCTTTCTTCAAGCAACGAATCTCGGAAGACTCTGGGGGAGCGTTTTGCTGCTTCTTTACCCCGACGTCAGGCCTTGCCGTCTCTGCTTCCTTGGTCGGGGATCGCTGATTCCTCCTCCTCCTCCTCCCCCCGCACGCCCCGCACCGCCTGCACCGCCCGCACCCCGCCACCGGACGGGATCTTCGCCCGCCGTGACACCGACGCCGACATTTGCCGCACCGCGACTCCTATTCCTCTTGAAAGATCGAACGGGCGAATCCATTCGCCGTCAAAACCGCTCGCGTCTCGCCGGTCGAGGCCGCGCGGATATACACACACAACAGCAACAACAACAACAACCGCCATTCGCCACTAAGTGGCGGTGACGTCACCACGATGCTTGTGCCAGGCCGTGTGCACGTTGAGGCTACCACGTGAAGTGTCGAACGCCCGCTGGCAGGAGGTCACGGGGCAGACCCGGCAGGTGCCGCGGGTCGACTGACCGAGACGACTGGCCGATGCATCGCCTGTGCCTCCTACTGTGCCAACTCGCTGCGCTTTAGCCACCCGGCCCTCCGCACCGCTTGTGCTCCGTGGCACTAATCGATTCGTGTCGGTGAGGCGGTGTGGTGGTGGCGGTGCTGTTGCCTTGTCGGTGAGGCGGTGAGGCGGTGTGGTGGTGACGGTGGTGGTGGTGGTGGTGTTGCCTTGTCGGTGAGGCGGTGAGACGGTGAGGGGGTGAGGCGGTGTGGTGGTGGCGGTGGTGGCGGGGGTGTTGCCCGTTCTTCGGGGTGGCTTGCGTGAAAAAAATCTTACTATTCACCTTCACCGCTCGTTCAGGCCGGCTACTGCGCAAAACCTACTCGGCCCGTTCTGGCTGGGTGCACGGATCCGCTCGCCGCTGCGCCCCGAGGCCGAGCATTTAGGTGGTCGGCCACGCAGCAAACAAAAACAAATTATAACTCGCTCTCTCGGGCATTCTCCACCCCGCCCCCCGCTTGCTTCCGTGCAAGGCCGATCGCCGCGCGGCTCGGCGTTGCCGTACGAATCTAATTCGGCCGTGCCGGCCCCACGACCGCTCGCTCTCTTTGACCTGCCCCACGAAGATCCGATCTTCCTGATTGCGCCCACAACCTCTTGGGACCTCGCCGGGCTTTTCTTAGAGCCTAGTCTCCATTGGCCCAACACCAATGGTTATTGCAAACATGATGCCTTGTATAATAAAGGTGTCAGTTTTTGTACCAGTTGAAAGGGTACTATATTTTGCCACTGGTAAAGGAGATGTCTCATAGGGTGTGCTGTGCTCGTAACCAATCGGCACGCTCTGTTTACGTGGCGGGTCTAACGACGCGTTGACATCCACGCGACCCGACCCCAGCAAAAATCTCCGCTGTGGAAGAAAGAGAGGGAAAGAGAGGGGGCCTCCCAGCATGCCGTTCGGCCCTCTCGGGAAGCGTTTTATTCGGGCCGCCGCCGGTGATGCGGCGTAACACCGAGCCCGGTGATGCGGCGTAACACCGAGCCCGGTGCCGGATCCCGCGGCCGCCGCTGGTGCTCGCGTGACCGGGAGGCGATGCCGATGCTTTCTAGTGCCGGGGTTTTTTTTTTTTTCTTTTTTTTTTTTTTCTTTTTTTTTTTTTTTCTTTTTTTTTTCTCTCTTCTTCTTTCTTTTCTTATTTCTTTCCTCGACGGGGTGTTAGCGAGACGTCCGCCCGGGTGGCGCGGGTGGGGCGGTGGCGACCCGCGGAGGCCTTCATCCAGCAGTGGATGGATCATAGCTGGCCACGGTGAAAGTCCCTTAACGGCAACGGCTTTCGGAGTAATGTTTTTGTTCGTTTTGGAGACTGTGTCATGCACTCGCCGCCACCACCACCACCACCAACCCCCCCCCCCCCCCCCCGTTCTTTATATAGACAACGCGAATGGACAGCGCTAACGAATTAACGCTTTCATCCTTAGCTGCAACGCGTTAACAACACTCACGGCGAATTAACGCTTTAAACCTCAGCCAGAACGCGTTAACGACGCTAACAGCGACGCAGCGAGTACATCTATATCCCTCCCCGCACCTGATAACTCAACCAACCGTTAAAACGACTTCCTTCAGGCGCCACCTACGGAGAGATCCTCCGGAATGAAGCCAAGAAGAAGGATCCGCAGTCGAGTAGCTCCAGCAGCTCCAGCTCCGATTCGGACCGGGAACAGAAGCCGCCCCATCCTCCGCCTCGCTCTGCCGGCAAGAAGGCCGCGGTGATTCTGGAGGAACCCGCGGAAGCGACCAAAACCGCCACGGCCGCTAAGCCGTCCAAGACCGAGTCGGCCGAGCCGTCGAAGACCGACGAATCGAAGGCGCCGACGGCCGTCGATGCGTCCGGGGGCTGTGGCACGTCGGAGTCGGCCGCGGGAGTTGCCGAGGGCCGCGACGGAGCAAAGAAGGCGGCCAAGAAGGCGGCCAAGAAGGCGGCCAAGCGGGAGAAGGCCGAGGCCCACGCTCCGCCGGCGACGGGCGGACGTCCGCAAGAGGAGGGCGGAGGGCTTGGGGTCGCGGCCGGCGGGGTCGCGGGGGCGATCGCCGGTGCCGCTGAGGCGTCGGCGTCGTCGGCGGCGGCGCCGGTGGCGGTGGAAGCGGGGTCGGGGAAGCGTGGCGACACGGAAGAATTGGTGGACGCGGCGCCGCAAGTGGCGGCAGCAGAGGAGGAGGAACTCGGCGACGGAGGAGCCGCGGTGACGGTGCCGGAGGAGGGACGCCGGGGGGACGTGGACAAGGCCGCCGGCGTGGAGGCGGAAGGGAAGGAGGGCGGGCGGGAGGAACTGAAGGGGGCGGAGGTGAAAGGGCAGGAACTGAAGGGGGCGGAGGTGAAAGGGCAGGAATTAAGGGTGCGGAGGTGAAAGGGCAGGAATTGAAGGGGGCGGAGGTGAAAGGGCAGGAATTGAAGGGGGCGGAGGTGAAAGGGCAGGAATTGAAGGGGGCGGATGCCGAAGGGGGGGCGGCGGTCGAAGAGGTCAAGGGAGCGGAGGTCAAGGGAGCGGAGGTCAAGGGAGCGGAGGTCAAGGGAGCGGAGGTCAAGGCGGTGGCGGTGGCGGCACCAGAAGAGGGCGGCCAGGCCAACGGGGATCCGGCGGCCGCGTTGGAACCCGGCGCTGGGGCAGCTTCCTCCGGGACGGAGCAGACCACCTCTCGGGGTAATGAGAGGCGGCGGGGTGGGGGGGGGGCGGCGGATGCATGGGGGAGGTGGAGGCTCACGAGGTGGATTGGTTAAGGTGGCCGGCGCGAGGCCGAGGGGCTAACCGACGGGGGAAATGGTGCGGCTAAGGTACGCATGCTGTCACGGTAATGAGCGGGGTGGGGGACGGTTCGTGGAGCGAAGTCGTAAAAAAAACGCTCGCAAATTTCCCGCTTTGTCAAGATGCCATCGCAACGGCGGTGGCACCGGGTCCGTGGGACGCGGCCCCCTTGGCGATGGCTTGCCTTGAGCTGCTGCTGCTGCTGATGATGATGATGCTGCTGCTGCTGCTGCTGATGATGATGATGATGCTGCTGCTGGTGCTGCTACTGCTGCTGCTGCTACTGCTGCTGGTGCTGCTACTGCTGCTGCTGCTACTACTGCTGCTGCTGCTATTGCTACTGCTGCTGCTGCTACTACTGCTGCTGCTGGTGCTGCTACTGCTGCTGCTACTGCTGCTGCTGCTACTGCTACTGCTGCTACTGCTGCTGCTGCTACTGCTGCTGCTGCTACTGCTGCTACTGCTGCTGCTGCTACTGCTGCTACTGCTGCTGCTACTGCTGCTGCTGCTGCTGCTGTTGCTACTGCTGCTACTGCTGCTGTTACTGCTGCTGTTGCTACTGCTGCTGCTGCTACTGCTGCTGCTACTGCTGCTGCTACTGCTGCTGCTGCTGCTACTGCTGCTGGTGCTGCTACTGCTGCTGCTGCTACTGCTGCTGCTACTGCTGCTGCTGCTGGTGCTGCTACTGCTGCTGCTGCTACTGCTGCTGGTGCTGCTACTGCTGCTGCTGCTACTGCTGCTGTTGCTGCTGCTATTGCTGCTGCTGCTACTGCTGCTGCTGCTGTTGCTGCTGCTATTGCTACTGCTGCTGCTGCTACTGCTGCTGCTGCTACTGCTACTGCTGCTGCTACTGCTGCTGCTACTGCTGCTACTGCTGCTACTGCTGCTGCTGCTACTGCTGCTGTTGCTACTGCTGCTACTGCTGCTGCTACTGCTGCTGCTGCTACTGCTGCTACTGCTGCTACTGCTGCTGCTACTGCTGCTGTTGCTACTGCTGCTACTGCTGCTACTGCTGCTGCTACTACCGCTGCTGCTGCGGCGTTGACGAAGACCCGAACGTCCTGGGCTTGTGGTTCACGTCGGGCGCGAACGTAATCCGTCGTTTCCTTTCCGCAGCGTCGCCGCCGCCGCCACCACCGGAGCCGTTTGACAACTCGTCGTACCGCAACACGGAGCACTGGGCCTACACGCCGCACACGTTCGCCGACGTCGACGTCGACCTGGCTGCCTTGCGCCAATCGCAGCCGTCGTCACGCGGATAGGCCCCTCGCTTAGACAAGCCCCACACGTCCCAGCCACTTAGTCACACTCTACCAGACACGCCCCTGAGCTAAACCCCCCCCACCGCCATCTCTCCCCCCACCATCTCTCCCCCCCCTCCCCCCACCATCTCTCCCCCCCCTCCCCCCCACCATCTCTCCCCCCCTCCCCCACCATCTCTCCCCCCTCCCCCCACCATCTCTCCCCCCCCTCCCCCCACCATCTCTCCCCCCCTCCCCCACCATCTCTCCCCCCCCCCGCCATCTCTCCCCCCTCCCCCCCACCATCTCTCCCCCCCTCCCCCCCACCATCTCTCCCCCCTCCCCCCCGCCATCTCTCCCCCCCTCCCCTCCGCCATCTCTCCCCCCCCTCCCCCCACCATCTCTCCCCCCCTCCCCCCCGCCATCTCTCCCCCCCTCCCCCCCGCCATCTCTCCCCCCCTCCCCCCCGCCATCTCTCCTCCCCTCCCCCCCGCCATCTCTCCCCCCCCTCCCCCCCGCCATCTCTCCCCCCCTCCCCCCCACCATCTCTCCCCCCCTCCCCCCACCATCTCTCCCCCCCTCCCCCCACCCCCCCCACCATCTCTCCCCCCCTCCCCCCACCCCCCACCATCTCTCCCCCCCTCCCCCCACCATCTCTCCCCCCCTCCCCCCACCATCTCTCCCCCCCTCCCCCCACCATCTCTCCCCCAGCGACCCCCACCATCTCTCCCCAGCGACCCCCCCCCCCCCTACAAGATATGACCAACCACGGGAGTCTCCCATTGGTCTCTCCCCACCCACCCCCTCCCTCCCCGTTCCACACAAAATTGTCGTGTTGTGACAAGTTGCCCTGTAACTATTGTAATTAAGAGAATTATCATCCGCCGAGCGAGTTTCCGTGACATTTGTAGAATACGGCCACGTGCATTCTGGGGGAGAGGTGTTAATTTAAAGAATTATTATAAACTGGCAAAGTACATCAGACCCACACGCAAACCCCATTTTACTCCTACAACACGATAAAAATACACCGGTGGGCCCTCCCCTAGGTCGACTCAGCCTCAAATAAGTACCTGTGGGGTGTTTGGTAAACATCGCCCTTCATCGGAGGTGCTCGCTAACAGCACTTGCCCCTACAGCCTGTTAAGGCTACACGGGGGGGGATCTTTGTCTTTGTGTGTGGAGCGGCAGACATTGGTGGCAAGCAGGAATTGAGTATCTGTCTCTCCCGGCTTGCCTGTCGATCTACTTGTGTATGCCACACATGTATGTGCTATGTCGGCGCGTCTGCTTGTCGATCCGTCCAGGCGGTTGTGTGCGGCGTTGACCATCTTGTCCACCTGTGTGGGCGGCGTTGACCATCTTGTCCACCTGTGTGGGCGTCTCTGTCCGTGCGTCTCTCCGCTGGTATCAACCTCCGTCTTGCCTCTCTGTGTCCGCCCATCTGTCCGTTGTCGTCGGCAGTCCGGGACACGTCTGGCGTTCGACATTTGTCTACGTCTTCTTGGTTCTTTCGTAAAGTCACGTAGAAGGGAAGTAATACCATAATAAAAATAAAACAATAAATAATATTGTTGGTTCTTTCGGTAAAGTCCCGTAGAACGGAAGTAATAAAATAATAAAAATAAAACAATAAATAATATTGTTTTATTTTTATTATTTTATACTTCCCTTCTACGTGACTTTACCGAAAGAACCAAGAAATGAATCCCTGCAGTCACGAAAGAAGCTTTACATCAAATTTGTCTACGTACGTCTCCGTCCGTCGACCTGACCCGCCTCTCTCCTCTGCCCCTTGTACGTCAGTCCGTCCTTGCCTCTGTCCCTCCGTCTCTGTCCGTGCGACGTGTCCATGTGCCTGTGTGTCCACGGGTCCACGTGTCATGTCCACGTGTCATGTCCACGTGTCGTGTCCGTGCGACGTGTCCATGTGCCTGTGTGTCCACGTGTCCACGTGTCATGTCCACGTGTCCGTGTCCGCGTGTCCGTGTGACGTGTCCCGGGGGCTGTCCCTCATTGTCTGTGGCTCAGGCAGCCCTCGGTCTGAGCCTCCATGGGCCAGTCTCCCACATGGTGATCCGCCTCGTCCTTGTGCACGATCTGTGGGGGGGGGGGGGGGTACACACATGGGGGGGGGTACACGCATGGGGGGGTGTACACACATGGGGGGGTACACACATGGGGGTACACACATGGGGGGGGTGCACACACACGAGGTCATCATTAGCACCATCTACTGCCAGGGTCATTCCACTGCTGGATGCAGCCACGCCGCGGTCGCCGCCCCCCCCACACTCTCTCTGGCGTGTCGTTGCTCGCACGCGCTCACGTACTCTGGCACCCACTCGCTCACCGACTCATTCACACATACACTCGCTCACCGACTCATTCACACATACTCGCTCACCGACTCATTCACACATACACTCGCT